TTAAACTAAAAACAACAGGAAAAGAGAAAGAAGAACAGGAAAAGAGAAAAAAGAAAAAAAGGCAAAAAAGGCTAAAAACAAAAAATAAAAAAAGAGCAAAAAATTAAAAAAGAACAAAAAAGGACAAAAAGAACAAAAAAGGACAAAAAGAACAAAAAAGGACAAAAAAGGGAAAAGGAATGAAAAAAGGCAAAGGAAAATAGAAAATAAAAAAAAAAGGAAAGGAAAAATAAGAAAAAGAAAGTCAAAGAAAGAAAATGGAAAATTAGTAAAAGAAAATGGAGAAAAAAAAGCATCTAAATTCTAAGAAAACTTACAACAACTCTTGGAGTGACAATCATCCAAACTGAGTGATTTTTATGCCCAGATTGAAGTAACCAATTGGGACGATCCACACGGCGAATAACTCTCTCACTTGGCTGATAAAGATGTAGACTGTATTAAAGAATAAAAAAAAATTATACATCACAATGTAGAATATATATATATATATATATATATATATATATATATATATATATATATATATATATATATAAAAACTTTTAGGTAAGCAAAAACAAAGTAAAAGAAAATAAATGGTCTTCAAGATAGTTGTCCAAAATTAATAGAGAAAAAAACTGGAAAAAGTTGAAATAAATAATAATCAATACATATATAAATACAATTAAAATACAAAAATCGAAATTATATATAATGTAATATATATTATAAATGAAATAAAAGAAATAATTTCAAATGATGGTAAATTATCAAATTTAAGCAATATTTACATTTTTTTCTTTAAGTGAAATTTTGGATGTTACTTTTGGGAGCTACAAAAAAAAAAAAAAAATTCGGACATCTCTTCTAGAGTTCAAAATGTCATCTGAACAGTACATAGCCATTACTCATTGAATGAAGGCTGGATGTATACCAAAAGTCATCATGTACAGTGAGCTGTCCTTGGGACATCTCCAGTAGGCTACCTTGCACTATGTTTCAAGGACATTTGCAAGAAGTGACCTGAAACTTGCAGGCATCAATTCTAGTAGTTGGGAACAGCTAGCAGACAATTAGTGGCTGGCACCATGCTGTTCAAGAAAGTATCATGAATGGTGGAGAAAAAGTGAAACCAAGTGTTGGATATCAAAATACAACAAAGGAAGCAGAGAAAGCAATGTCAGACCTTCAATTCTATATTTCAGCTTCATCTGTCTCACCTGCAGAAGAGCATGTCATGAAATGATTGCCCTGTTATGCCACTTCAGATGCTGTTCACAAAAGAACTGAATGTTTGAACAATGAGAGCAAAACCATTATCACTCAAGATAAGCAGATGCCTACAACTGCTCCTACTACATACGTGGGTGGGGATGGGGGGTGTCATTGAATGTGACAGACAAGGAAAGTTTTATTAATTTTTTTTTTTATTCAGTTTTTCTTTTATGAAAACAAAGGTAGTGTAGAAACTTTCCATCATGATTACTGTCCCAAACACTTTTGACTAATTCATTAGCCATTTTCAAGGGATTAGTTGTTAGTATATTTTTTGTGTTTGTATTGTAAGGGGTGTTGTATAAAATTAGTACTCTCTACTATGTTGTATAGAAATGGTAGTAATTCCATGTTGGGGTGCCTTCAAAACTTTCACAAGAGTCTTTTACTAGTTTCAAACCAAGTAATGCTGAGTGTGGGCTTAAACTGCTTTATAAAGAAAGTGATCCATTATCTTTAAATGCCTTTTGCAATTAGATATTTTTAAAATGACAATATTATCTACAAGGATTTTTCATATGGGGGCAGGTAATTGGGCCTTGGCACTTACATACTTAACATTCACCGAAAGGGCTTAGGACAATAAGCACTATGAACAGTTTCTACACTATCTTTGTCCTCATAACAAAAACTATAAGAACACTATGAAACATATATATATGTGCGTGGACTCTTGTCGCATTCAACATATGAGGGTCAAGCAACTCAACTCCTAGAAACTGACAGCCAGACACCAGCACATATGATTTGATTATAGTAATGCATATATATATATATATATATATATATATATTTATATATATATATATATATATATGAACTACCTCATAGATGACCAAATTAGACTTTCTTTTTAAAGTAACCAATAGCATCACTGAACATACAGATAAAACAATAACAATTTTGATAAAAATCAAATACATGTTAACAATAAGCAAAATGAAATTTCCCTTAAAACATTATAAAGAAATACACAACCCCAGTTGGCCAGAACAAGAAAATTAAATTATCTATGAGATCCAAATTACAGATGACCAATATCATTTATGAATTCATATGTCCCTTAAGTGTGTTCCTGATCAAACCAAGTTCATGAGTAATTATATTGGACATACCACTACATGCCTATCAAGAAGACTCACCTTACATCTCTCTGGCCAGAACTCAATTACAAACCATTTTAACGTACATAGAAACTTAAAAACTCTGTTTGCAACATACTTGTAGAAAATACAACTATAATCCACATGTAAAAATGCTAAAAATAATGGAAGCATTAATAACAAAAAAGAAAAAGCCCACAGTCAATAATATCAACTATGAACATGGCCACAATGTTGTACAAGTTGTGTAAAATAAAATTACCATCACTATAGTTACACATATATAAAAATTGATATATTCAGTTAAAAATTTAAAAAAAAAAATTCTTTGCAATGGCTAATAGAATAGCCGAAAGTGCTTGGATATATAGAACATTTGGACAGTTTTTTTTAGTCCATATAAAAGAAAACACTTATATGAACAGGGTGAAATGACTAAAAACAAAAATATCAAATCATTTCCTATTTATAAGATTTACATTATAATTATTTGCAAATTGTTGTAGAGTCAGACTAAAAATACTTCCTGATCTTCCCTTCTGTGACAGTGGGCTACTCCTACTTATAAATATGGCAAGTAGCCACATTAGAGGAGGATTTGAGTAGTATTTGATTTACTCATATCTTTCCATTCTATGTATGAGTATTTAAACCTCTTCTTTGTTTACTCTACCTAGTCTTCTGTTCCTTTGATACTCTCTTTAACAGCAGTCTTCTTAAGTCTCTGCTATTTTGAATAAAGACAACACTACAACACATTACGAATCATCACTATGATGAAGGTGATAATAATAATAGTATTATTACTAGTATGCCATTATGGCTGAGGGTGCAGAATACTGACAAGCCAAGAGGAATTAATAATTAGCACATAATAGACTGATTTATTTTCTTTAGATATATGTGTTTTTTTGTTTTTTTTAAAATCATTTCACCCCTAGCAAAGCAATAAAGTTATTAAGATGCAAGGAGTTACTTAGAATAAGAGAAACTGAGAAAACATTACTGGGGAGAAAGTATAATAAAAAGAACAAGAATCAAGTTGACAAAACATGATGATTGACATTGCGTTTAAATTTTGGAGGATTGTAGTTGAGAAGAAAGAAAGAAACCGGGAGAGAGTTCCACAAGTGAGAAGTGCAAAAGACGAAACATATGGTTACATCTAGCACTGAACATATGGTTACATCTAGCAATTTCAAAAATTAAAATGAGGAGACCTAACTGCCAATCTAGTACTATGCTTAAATCCATGAAGTCACAGCACCAAAGAGGAAAGCTCATCAGTACAACTACCATGAAAATATTTATAGAAGAGGCATAGGGAAGCTATAGTACAGTGATAGAAAAGCGACTGAAGCCAAGATGCCAGGTCAGGCCCAATAACATTGCAGATTCTTTGGATTTTATCAAGAATTTCTAAATAAATAGCAGAAGTACCAGACAAGATGTGGCAGTAATACTTAATGCATGGACGAGTGGTAGACTTATTTATATTTAATTAAAAATTACTTAGAATGTCTCTTTATACTTAATTAAGAATTACTCAAATCTTTGGTTGGATTGAACTGGAAATTATTCTTGTCTCCAAGTTCAAACATTTTGATGGTACCACACTTAGAAAAATTGCACTACAATGTACCGTTTTTCCTGAATTAAAGTAACAAGCACACAAGCCGAGAGAAATGTGATAATTTTAATATAAACTCAAAATATTTTTTTAATCAGAATATTTAAATTTGTGTCTTTATGCACACTTTACTGTTGTGTATATAAAAATATGTTTTAGGAAAATTAGGAAAACTGAAACTTTTTGCCAATAAGCCAGATTTCTTTTTGTCTTGTTACTGATAGTTGCTGAGTGGCCATCTAGCAAAATGTCGTCTGGCATGAAAGTGTGTACAAAGCTGAGTTGTCATTGCAGAAAAAAATGCATCCATTGATAGTCCTCAATGCTTTTTGAATATTTATGGAAACCAAACAGTGAGTAGAGAGTGGGTAACGTGTTCCAGCACTGGGAGTGATTAATTTGTTTTTTTAGGGTTTATTAATTCTCTGTTGGGTATTTAAAGCTGATACATTTTGGGTTGTAAAAATAATTTTTTTTCAAAGTCAATATTGCATTAATTGTTGATTTTAACCACATTCTATGACCACAGATTTGTTCATTTCTACAGCTTTTCAACTCCTTGCAAGTTATTTAAAGCTGAAATATTTTTGATTGTAAGAATTTTTTTTGTGAGTGACAATGATCTTTCTAGATACAAGTCCTACTATTTAACCCATAGCTAGAGAAAGAAGATAGATTCATACTTTTCCCAAGGGTATTTGCATATAAGTGAATGTAATGAATTAAACTAAAATTCAAACGACTCTCCGATTTTTCATTCTGAGCCACCATCTTCAGCAATGGGAACAGATGTGTCTGATAAGCTACAATCCAAGTGTATGCTGGCTCTTGTTTACAAAAATGCAAAGCTGATAGTTATTTGAAAACAATAAAAATAAAATAAAATTTCTATTCTACTGACATGAATTTGAAGATGGCCTATAAATCTAAATAAATTTTTTTAAATATATAAATTCTTTCAATAAATAGGTTGTATGACTTCTGGAGCATCTCTCATAGTCTATGCCTGTATATATATACATTCATTAGTCATTTGAAAACAAGTAGAATAAAATTAAATTTATATTCTACCCACATGAATTTGAAGATGGTCCATAAATCTGAATAAATATTTCAATTTTTTAATTGTTATTTATGACCTTCACCATTTGAACTTTGAAAAATATATTTAACAAATACAAATTCCAAAATTAGCCACACTATATCTCATAAGAACAAAAAACAAAACAAAATGGAGGCTAAAATGAAAGTGAGGCTAATTCAGTATTATGTCCTTAATAAATGATGATTTAAATTGCTGTCTTACTCCACTGTCTACAGAAATAGAGTGAAGATTTATACTTAGTTATGATCTACATAACTATGTTACGATCTATATAACTACAATATAAATCTGTATTAGCTCATCATTGAAAAAAACTTTCTTAGGACCTCCAAATTTATTAAAGATTTTAAGAGGAGGCTTTTTTTATAGTCACCATGTTGAAAGAGTTGTAGAGCGAAGACAGAAATAAACAGCAAGATGGTTGAATGCCTCCCAAAAAATGGTTTCTTTGAAAATAATATTTTACATTTTTCAACTAATGGGTCACGTTCCTGCGGACAATGAAAAACATGCTTCATGATCCCTTTGAAAAGTATTTAAGTAAAATCTTTAGATGAACAAAATCAGTAAGGAGAAGGAATGGCAACATATGATACACATGCTTCAACAAGATTCCCTTACTCATTCACCCATCTTCCTCACCAAGATATATGACACTTACAATTGTCCTCACCAAGCTACGTGACACTTACGCTCTCCTCCTCACTTTCTCCCTTGCTTCTTTTACCCAACATACACATGAAAAAAAAAAAAAAAAAAAAAAAAAAAAACAGTTCTTTTCATCTTAAAAAATAACTACAAGGAGCTTTAACACAAGAACTTTAACACTCATACATGCTCAGAAAAATTTAGTTGTAAAAACAAAAAAAATATTTTATTTTTATATTTAAAAACCTTTCTCGCCTCTTTCTTTGTTGTGGGTTGATTCAAATTTGCAACAGTGTAAGGGAATAAATATCATAAACACAATACATTGTGTAAGTAATGCTTTCAAAATGGTGGACAAATTTACTTACGTAGAATTATATGGTGGGTGATTACTAACTTCTGAACGGTTTGTTAATGGATTTCCATCACGGTCACGATAAAAGGCATACAACCCTGCAGTGAAACCCTGAAGAAATAAAAAAGACAATATTAAATTAGAGTAAAGTTGAAGATTTAAAATACCAGATACAATGTGCTATAGAAGTATCTTAATGCATGACTAAACAGAATATTAAAAAAAAATGTGTAACACTATTGGAAAGGCACTGGTAAATTGAAAAAAAACTGGAAGACAGAAAAGTACCAATTTCTGATAGACTGAAGATATACCAATGACCAGGTGAGGGAAAGTGAAAGAGGAGGATATTTGTTTGTTTGTTTTTTTTTCATTGGAAAAAAACAAGAAGGTAATTAAATTTCTTGTCTGCCGGAGAGGTAAAACAAAGAGACCCTCTGGTTTCAATTAGAACTGAGATTGAATGACAGGCTGTTCTGGAGATCCAAGGACCTCTCAGAAAGAAACAGATAATATTTTTATGACCATTGGGTGACAGAAAGGAAGATGGACCTCTGCTTGTGAGTTTGGTTGATTGATAAGGATTAACTTTTAAAAACAGGCAGGTTCTCAGAACAACATATTTGGAGAATGACAAAATTTTTGTCTACCAAAATGCAATAAAACTTCCCAAATAAGGGAACAGGTTTGGTCAGGTGACCAAGGAGGAGAAGGCCCAGGTGGAATTTCAGGGAAGGTGGAGGATTTTCCATGCGCCTCAGGTAGTGATGGTAAGAGGCACTCACACAAAGCAAAAAGAAGATGGGTTTGATCAGGTGACCAAAAGAAGAAGAAAGCCCAGGTCGAATTCCAAGGAAGGAGGAGGTGATCCCCCATATTTAGACATTTGCAGTGAGAGCCCTGATTGGTTGTTTGGGTAATGCTGGCATGCCTGGAGCACATCATGCCTCACCCCAGCCCTTATGCATGGGTCCATAAAAACAGAACACCAAGTAGGTATTGACTGCAGAGACACTACGGCAGAGAGAGATTGTGGAGACAAGACCAAACAGGACGAGAACCACCGCTTCACCTGATCTCATGTGATTTGCCACCCTGAAGAAAAAGCCTCCAACTTAAAGCCTGGTTCCAGAAGTCTTGTTCCAAAATCATAACAACAGTGTGTCACAATAATCAGGAAAGGTCAATAGTTATTGCATGGAGCGTATAGGCCTGCTTAAGCCATCAGTAGCTGTACCATCAACTTTGTATCAAGGAAGTGTACATAAATACTTTTTTTTCCTTTTACCCAATTTATTTTTTTTTTCTTTTTTCATGTGACTTTAATCTGACTGGACCAAACCAAGTCATCAATTCCAGTCGGCCATTTGGACCAAGCCAGTCTTGTGATCAATTGACACAATGTGAGGCAAGACAAGATTTGGGACAAAGTGATCAACTGAGGGGATCAAACTTGAATACCGAGTGGCTAGAGTAGACATCATAAATGTAAGAAAGGTAAAATCTTGTTTTTTAATATATATCTATATATCAACTATATTCAATAAATCAAGAAATGTTCATGTGAATGGTAGAGTGGTTCAATAGTTTCACATTGAAATGCACATCAGTTCCAGATGTTTGATAATTCTATTGAACTTATAGTTATACTCTTTGGAATGAATGAATGCTAATTCTAAATTTCAAATTTTTAACATACTATAGTTTCATTAGAAACACCAAAATATTTAAATTTAGAACCAGTTTTATATATTTTCACTTTCACATCACAGCAATACCTTTGCAAGAGACATGAATCAGTCTTCTATTCCACAGCTATGGGTCAAATAACAGAATTGACTGGGATTTCTAGCCTTGGATGACAACCAGTCTAAGAAAAATAAAACTTTGAATTCCAGTCTGTGGAGAAGGCCATGAGAAAGCACTCCACTATATTTCCAAAATCAGAGCAATTCACAGACAATAAAGCAAAGGAAGCTGTTGAGAGTCATACAAATATTGAGAATATGAAGTAAATATAAAATAAACTGAGGATAAAATGCCAAAGTCAACAAAGCTTAAATATATTATAATAATATCATAGTATGAAAATCTGCCTAATAAAACCCAGAGTAAGCAGAGTCTTAATGTATCACACACACATATATATATATATATATATATATATATATATATATATGGTGGTATTAAATATGCTGGGGGAGGGGGGTAGTTTACGTTAATAATTATGGTGGGTTTATATGGTAATAGTAGATGTGATGTGATAGTAATGTGTAAGGGGGTTGGTGACAATGATAATATAAGTGGTTAATATTTATTGTAAATTGTTAGTAGTGATTAGTAATGTTGGTGGGAGAATAATAAAAAACAATAAATGTAATTATTGTGGTGCTAGATTGAACTAAAGAGTGGTTGTTGGTGTTTTATTTTATTTTATTTTCTATATTTATTTATTTACTTTGGTATGAATCCTGGTAATAGGTATTTATTCTCATGGTTACATATGGAAATTATTTCTGATTTTATTGTTTTTTTTTTTGTTTTTTTTTAAGGTATTAAATATGCTGGGGGAGTAATATATGTTAATGATTATAGTGGATTTTTATGTTAATAGTAGATGTGATGTGTTAGTGATGGTGTTGGGTGTTGGTGGTAATGATAATATTAGTAGTTAACAGTTATTGTAAAGTGGTAGAAGTGATTACTAATGGTGGTGCAATGATAACGATAAATGCAATCATTGTGATGGTATCTTGAAATTAAATTGTGATTGTTGGTGATTTGTCTTTTTTAACCGTATGGTATGAATTCAGATAATAGGTACTTGTTCTCATGCCTACATTTGGAGATTATCTCTGATTTCTTGTTTAGTAAGTTCTTTTCCGGTGTGTGTGATATTATTGCTACTTTTTCGTGTAGGCAAAGTAGGCATTTTTTTGTAATGTTGCTGTAGGCATGAGACCTGGGTTCAAATCTCACCACAGCTGAATTGTCAGAAAGTAGGCTTCCTGATGTTATTGGTCTGGAGGGGCGATCCCACCATACGACATATTTGGATAGTGCCTGAAAATTATACCACAGTTTGACTTAAGGCTTGTGAGTGAAATTGGGTAGATAAAACCCATTGGGGGCAGTTGATAGCTGTGCTAGCACAAAGTCATAAGTCAACATGACCGAGGGTTTGAGTGTGCTGGCCTTGTTCAGATTGTTGATTATCTAGATAACACACTCTCTCCCAGAAACTGTAACTAAGGTCTGCTCAGCATAGTTGCATTACAAACCACAGGTTGGCTCTGTGGTTGTTGAATGAACACAAATGTGCCTGAGTGAGCGTCTGCAAAAGGGATTGGCTAGCCACCCTCATAGGTGGGTATCCTCAAATACAAGTGGCCAGCTATTATCATGTATAGCTATATTGTGTGTGTGTGTGTATATATATATATATATATATATATATATATATATATATATATATATATATATATATAAACATTAATGATAATACACCTGAAAAAATATGTGATGATTACAAGAATTTAACTTATTCTTTAGTCTAGCCAAACTTCTGCAAAAAAAAATATTCAATAGATAACTTGTGCTGCAATATTCAATAAATCAACAAAATTTCAATTTGACTCTCTGCACATCAAAACACTCATCATGGCCAGATGTTTGATAGATCTATGGAACTTATTATCAAACCAAGTTTTTCTTAACATGCACTAAATATAGTCATAACAATCTAAAAATACACTTGATATTTGCCAAAAATCAAAAATATTAAAGTAATTAAATAAAAAATTGTAGAGTAATTGGCCATGGTTAAGTGTAATTGGCTGAACAATCTCCTCACAGACAAAGAAAAGACTTGAGGCAACAGAAATGTAATTCTACAGAAGGATGCTGAAAATACTATGGACTGAACTTGCAAACAATGATAAAGTTTTAGAGAAAATGGAAACTAAAAGGGTACTTAATATCAGAAAGAGTCAGTTGAAATTTATAGAACACATAATGAGGAAAGAGGACTTGGAATATATGACACTCATGTGGCATATTAAAGGCAAGTGCATACAAACAAACTTTTGTAAATGGATGGCAGAACAGGGTTTAGAAGAGATTGTAAAAAGACAACATATACTAAGAGATACAAAGGACAGGAAATTGTGGAGAGCTGTGATCACCAAAGTCCTAAAGGGACATGTCACATAGAAGATTGCTTTTAGATCTGCCTGTGAGAAAGTATATCTCAAAAATCCTGTATCATGTAAAGGTGAGGATGAAACAATTAGTTCATAGCAGGATTTGGTTATTAACAGAATGGTGAGGTCTATCGTTTGGTTTACACTCCTTCCCAGACTTTTGAACAGTAGTAGAGGTTTATTCCTTGTTTCCTGTTTAGGATTGGGTTTCCGGTTCCTTCTAAAGTCTACTTCAACTCTCTACTTCTAATGTCTCTGCCTAAACTCTGAAATTTCATTTACTATTTATTTTTCCCTCCTCTCAATAAGAGTAGATAGATTTGTCTAAGGTCCAGTTCAAACTATTTCTCGATCTTTTGGATAGGAGTAGAGATTTATCTCGTTTCTTGTTTAGGAGTGGGTTTCTAACACCTTCTAAAATCTTTTTCATTCTCTTTCACTCCAAGTAGCTCCAAACATCTTAATGGCATCATCACCTTGCTGGGGGGTGAATTGGTTAAAAATAAATAAATTTTGATCTGAAATTTTTGCCATGAGCTAAAAAGGACAGGAAATTGTGGAGACCCATAGTTGCTAATGTCCTGAAGTGACATGACACAAAGAAGAACAGGGATTAGAAGAATATATAAAACCAGTTAACCTACAGGGAATTTCAAACTGAACACTTTATTTAATTTACAGGGGTAGACTGTTCTCATTCCACTGACCAAATCTAGGGACAAGACAAGGGAGTGAGAGGGCTAGTGAAGACAAGCCTTACTAAGAACTACAAAGGACAGGAAATTGTGGAGAGCCATGATCACCAATGTCCTGAAGGAACATCACACAAAAAAGAAGATCATAATATAAAAATAAAAAATTGTTAAGATCTCAAGATGTATTTTAAATAGGGATTGTAGTGATATGTAA